GGACGTAGTGATATTGCAGGTTTTTGACACTTCCGGGTTGGCTTCATTTTCAGGGCCGGTTGCTACGTCCATCTTTTATACAGTCTATGGAATCTATGAGAGGTATCAAAATGAAAGCAACCAAAGACAGCAACGAAACTGATCCAAAACTTACCTCAGAAAACAGTTGCCAACAAAGAAAGTTTAACAAACATGCAAAGAAGTTGACCACTCATCCTACAGTTCAGACCTGTTTGCAAAATTAGATGTGGGGAGAAAAATCTCATAAAAACTCGACATTAACCACATGGTCAGTAAAGATCGCACCACAGTGTTGCTCTGCGTGCTGTATGTTCATTTCCACCAGAAAATTACTTCACACTCTGCCCTCCACATCATCTCAAGTCTCCGTCAGACTGGAGGGGAGGTGGATAACACACGACGGCGGTGTTTGGTTTGAACAGTGAGCCTCGTTATACATTTCCTCTCCGCAGCAATGTTTCGCCCCACTGAGCACAGCCAATGAGATCAATGTGGTGAACAGCAAGACGAAGATGGAGTGTGTGTGTGTGTGTGTGTGTGTGTGTGTGTGTACGGGATAAAAAAAGACGTAATTTCTGCTGAGTGTCTGAACATGATATTGGGAACAATTCTGCCACAAATAAAACGAACGACTCAGCAGACACGAGCCTGACGAGGGCGAGAGGAGGAGTCGAGGGAGGATAAAGGGCGAAGGGAACTTTGGCGGCGATTTCATTCGGCCGACGAAAGGTCAAGATCATCAGCACGGAGGACGATCTGAACTTTATCCGCTGCAGGCCTGATAAACAACTGGCAATGAAGTTTTATGTGGTTTGTCATTAAAAAAAAAAAAAAAAGCTGCGACAGGAAATATGGATGACAAAAACATAACTACACATTCGAGATGAAAGCAATAAATTATCAGAACAATCGATCATTTGAGTTCCATTTATTATTGATTAGAGAAGACATTTTACATTCTTTCACATCATTTAAAATAAAGCCACATTTCCCACATATCTGTGCAGTGCTTACGCTATTATCTCCTTATCAAGTATTATGTTTTATATCCCAAAACACGTAATATGATTAAACATGTAAAAGGAGGATTTTTAAAAAAGGCAGGTTAGCTTTTATCCGTCTCTCCAATCAGACACCAAAAATGTTGACGCCCACCACATAACTACACGCTTATTAAGAAAATAAAAGATGATATTTTTTGAAATTGAGATTTGCGTGATCGGACTGGTCCAGGTCGATTCGGTGGCAGTAACTGAGGTCTGAATTCGGGTAAGCTTTCCCGATGTCTGTGAGACGTACCGAGTCACCTTCCCAGCACCAACCCTGACTGACAAGAGATAAAAGCTGCTGTCAAACTCTGCAAAGTCAAAAGACAAGTTCACATTTTTGTGTTGTACGTTTGCTCCCAGGTCTGTATGTACATTAAGAGTCAGCAGTGAATGATGCCTCCGGCCGGACTGGATTTGAAAAGATCTCTTTTTAATTGATTCAGACGTAAGCGAGAAGTGAGGAGACAAACATTGACTCAGACCACAGTCCTGATCTGTGCAAACACGAATCCCAAAGTTCAGCAAATGCAAATATGACGCTTCCACACTCCCAGTCAGACAAATTAGGGGTGCGTTTTGTGTGCACGCCTAATTCTGCCAAGATGCTGCTCCTTCGTCCTAATGAGCATCAGTTCAACTTCAGAATAAAAGCACATTGCAGGCATACTAGCAGTCAGCATCAACACTGACTTGATTCTTATTAAGATTTGTGTGTAAACAAATACCACATTATTCAAATGAGCTTTAAGAATCCCTGGACAAATGGTAGTTAGCAATGTGTGCAAACAAAAGCTTAAAATTAGTGCATTGTCAACAAGTCATTAATTCAAAACAATCAAAGAGGCACTCGTGGTTCTTCTCTTAACGCGATGCACCAAATGAGATGAACAGTTTCTGACTAAATAGCTCCACCTGCTGGAAACATCACCCCACTGTGGCTACGTTTCCCCTCATGTTTATCCGTTAAAGAGCCCATATCGTGCACATGTGCAGGTTCAGAAATGTAATTTGGGGGTCTACTAGAACATCTACACATGCTCTTCTCACTTTCTAAATGCTCCGTTTTAGCTGCCGATCCTTCAAGGTCCTGTTCTTGAAAAGCCCAGTCTGCTCTGATTGGTCTTTGGCCCAACACAACATAGCAAATCTAGCTTTGGCACTCGTACCATAACCCCACATCTGTGAGTAAAGGGCAGTGTCTTTGTTGGACAGCGTGCCAAAGTAGTCACCATGCTGGCGTTACGTGTCACATGATGACAAGAGATAAGTCCAATAAACGAGCTGTTGTGAGCAGATAAAGAGCAGTATTTTCTGTGGGAGAGAATAACTGCCTTTGGGGTTGGGCTTTATAAGTCTGCAGACATTTCACAATCACAAAACAAACTAAAGGAAAGAGAAAAGCCAAAAACCGCAACGATGGCCTGTCAGAGCTGATCAGTTTAGTCTTGTCATCAACATTCACAGTGAGAGTCATTCAGTAACTTTAAGTCAAAGTAGCAAAACTGATTTTTTTTTGTACACAATGATCGCGTTTAAATCTTGGCTCCAAAATATAAGTAACTTTAGATCAGTTGGAAAGATTAGGACGTGGGCTTCGACTTGTCTACTGCTCCTCTCCCTTCTTGAGGATCCAGACTTCGTTCCTGCGATTGGTCAGTTTGAAGGGGCTGTCATACCCGGCTGTGTAGTACGGAGCCTCCACATACTGGACACCATCCCTCTTCAGGCTTTCCACCAGTTTCAGGAGCTCTTCCTGCTTCATTTTCTCATTGGAGAAACCACCATATGTCCTGGAGGATCACATAACATGTATCAGACATTTAAGCTTTTTAATTAGTCCCACTAGTTTATTGTGTGTGAAGCTTAAAGCGTCGCCTCCGTTGTGCTCTACCTGACGTATACTGTTAACTCTTTCCTGTGCTCCACAAACACGTCCGGGTCGCTCGGCTCTGGTGGACTCTCCTGATGCTCCTCAGGGATGTAGAAGGAAACAGTGAACTTCGATTCACACGCAGGACCGGCTCCGGGATCCACGCGGCACGTCACGGGGGCCGTCATCTCCACTTTGACCTCTAACGGGAAGCCAGCAAACAAACGCACTTTTAGGAAATAAACGAGGGAAAACACTGGAAACACAGGTGAAAAACAAACGCAGCACGGGTTTTGTCGGAAACTGTAGGTGATGATCAGCCTGACTTGTGTGAGACGCGCAGATATTAAATTTCTAAACAAACCGTCAGTCGCCAGCTGTCGGATCAAAACCTCGGCGCATAATGATACCTGAACAGATGGTTGGCTTATAACCACAATGTGGAGCAGATGAAGAGGAATAAACATCATGTTTATGGATCGCGCTGCAGACCTCAGTAGTCAACAGCACAAACAATATATATTCTCATAAATAATGCTGCTGTGAACTGCTGAGTAAGACAAAGGCAAAGATGCTGAGCATGAACTAAAGTGCGCCTTTGCTCGCATTTATTCATTAACTCCGTTGTCTTGAACTTAAGTTATCTGTGAATTCATTCTGCAACATTTACCAACTTGACTGTCTCTAATTAATTTTATCTTGTCAGCTTTAAGTCAAGTCTGTCCACACCACAAAATAAAAGCCTCAAAAAGCTCCTCTCTGGCTCAGTCTCAACAGGAATAAAAGGATGCTAAAAGTTGCATTAACCCTGTTCAGGACGTTCATGTTTCCATACGTAGAAGGTGTTTCGGGGTCGACTGGACCCTAAGAAAGAATTTTATTTATTTATTTTTCCTTTATTTAACCAGGCAGGTTAATTGAGAACAGGTTCTCATTTACAATAACGACCTGGCCAAGAGGCAGCACAGAGCAGAAAATACAATACATCCATAAGAAAAGAATACACAAACAAAACGTGACAATAAAAGTCTTACACTAAAAGCAGGTACAGGACTCGATAAAAAGTTGCTTCACCATATTTTTAAAAGAAGATACAGATATAAATACACTGAGTTTGATTGTTTTTTGTAACTGGTTCCAGTCGAAAGCTGCAGAAAACTGAAATGAACAGCGGCCAAAGACAGTGCGGGCTTTGGGGATGAGGAGGTGGATGAGGTTGCTGCTGCGAAGTGAGCGACTGATGTGACGGGTGATGAGTAGTGAACGTAGGAATATGTAAGAATATGTGCTAAATATTTGTTGGTATTAATTATAGACTTTAATATTATGTTAAATACATGTTCTGATAAGTTAATGTATTTTTGGTTCCAAATGTATGACAAACGTCCCTCTTTTTTTATTTAAAAAAAATCTTCAAAAATAAAAAAACTACACCTGTCACCTTAACCAAAAGTCCTGAACAGGGTTAAACTGAGAAACTTAGATTCATGAGGCCTTTAAAAGACTAAAAACTTGATTAAAAAAACTCACTGTCTTTATTATTGCCTTGGATGTACTTGAAGAGCCTCTGGAAACCAGTCCTGATTGCTGGATCCCACTGCGTCCCACTCACAGCGGTGCTCATCCACCTGGTGGCGTGGTAGGTTCGGACCTCATAGTCTTCTCCCTGCAAAATACAGACGTGCACACGCTTTGTCTCAGTGTTTGTATTGGTCACAGGGAACCTGCAGTATTTAGGGACGCCACATATCTCAGCAGTGACACAGATCACACAGTTAAATGTTGGGACTGTCAGGGGGTGCATACATTTGGTGAACTCATTAATATCTTTTCCTGCCACATATTTAATCAAGCTTTTGGTGGCGCATCTGAATCCATTAGACCAGTTTAAAGCATTCAGACTGTTTGGCTTCTTAATAATGGCCAACTGAAAAAAACATTGAACTCAGAATGACTGGAATCTGAAGGATGTTAATGAAATCCGCCCACCACCAAACAGCCCAGCTCTGCAAACTGCGCTTTTGTCTCACTAACAGTAAAAAAAACCAAACAAAATGTAAATTTAAAAACGATTAAAAACACAGAAACAGAGCAGATTATTTAATTTTGGCATGAAAAGCTGGAGTGTGTCTGTGCTGGACTGATGGACCATCACTTAGTTCAATACTTTACTGGACTATAGAGCAACAAACAGGCCAAAGGTCTCATTTTCTTTTCCTTTCTTTTTTAAATTTGGTAATCTGGAAAAATATTCACCTTTTTCTCCTCTTCTGTGAATTTTGGATTCTGCAGTCCGGTTGAGAAAACAACTTTTTTCAAAGCTGTAAGCATGACTGACGAGCGGCGACTTCTTCCGAGCAGAAAACCTCCACAAACTCTTCTTTGGACGAGTGCAGACGTTATCAAACAGCTGCAAAGCATCAAACACACGTTTCATAACAGCTTCTTCTCACATCAAGGTTATCTAACGTTGTGTAACCTGCAAAACACACATCTCCGGTTTTTCACGTTCGCGTCCAGGATTCACCGCCTGAACCTTTCTGTAATCTGACATTTTAAATCGGAAAGTTAGTGGAGAAAACAAGGAGGAAAAGGAGATATAATTACCTACAAACTCATGCGCTTGGTGCCGCCGTCAGGGTGTGGAGTAGTTTTGTTGTTATGACAGCACTTCCGGTTACCAAAAAAATCTGAAATCTGATTGGCTGAGCGAGTGACATTTCAAAATAAGATCCCAAGCGGTCTTGACTGAGTAAATAGACCTGGAGAAAAGTTCAACTTTAGCCTCTATTTAAAATGTTTGGCTTGTTTGGGTCATAAACTACTGTGAGAATAATACAAACAAACAAGACGCCCGGTTAAAAGGAGGTATTGATTTAAAGGAAATAACAAATAGTGGAAATATCTATCTATCTATCCATCCATCCATCCATCCATCCATCCATCTATCTATCTATCTATCTATCTATCTATCTATCTATCTATCTATCTATCCATCCATCCACCCATCCGTCCACTTTGTGTTTTCAAGGTAGACTTTCCTACATTAAATAGATTGTGTGCGCTCTTCTTTGTGGGAATTTGATCCTCAGCAGCTGAATCCAGACACAGTTATCATCACTTTGACTTCAGTCCACATCTAATGCTACCAGGCAGCTGAAACCATGTTCTGGGAACAGCATCTCCCATTTATTTACTACATTAATATTATTATTATTTACATCAAAGGGACTAAGAGCTAACTTTACAAGGCAAAAACAACTCATTTGCAGCATTACAAAAACAAAACCACACAGTCGGGACACATGAGGCACAATCATAAAGAGGCGTCGAGGGTAGAAACGACCTAAAAACTAACAAGACAACTTCCAAATTTTCAGCACACACACACTGCAGGACAGGAGAATGCTGCTACATCTGTCACTGATATGTCGAGGATAAGCCAGAAGACGGTAAAAGAGTTTCTTGTATTTGGGCTCCAGCTGCAGATTTGCAAGAGCAAGCAGCCTGTTGGTGCGAGAGTCCGGACGACCAGATCTTCTGAGGACCAGCCGGGCTTACAGCAGGTTTGTAGCAAGCAAACAAGACAGTGTGTTTGTGTTTACAGATATGGATGCATAGTTTAACACTTGGAAGCCTGTCGTTGCTAATGTGACCCCCACACACACACACACACACACACACACACACACACACAAGCACAGCACGGACAGGACTGGAAAAACTGGATCTACAGGGACATGCAGTTCAATGGTAGAGACAACAGCAGCACCTTATGAGGCGAGTCCTATTCATTACAATTCAAAGAGCCAAGGGCAGTAGAAAAGGCAGAAAGACAGACTGGTTTTTGCTTACAAAGATCCAAACATGGCTGCTGGAAATAGCAGCAAACAATTCATCACTTCAGCTGCATTCACAACCTGGTAACAGCTTCTCTGAACAACATAATGTGGAGCATCTTGGTCATGAAGCAGTTTGTTAACTGATATTTAACTGGACAATAAAAAAACAAAGAGCGGATTGCTTATCACCTGTAAAGTCTTCTGAACAACCCTTGTTGTCAAATTAAATATTTATTAACCAACTGCATTATAGCCTTAGTGCATTCTGCGTAACGGTTGCAGCTGACGAGACTTCACGAGGCGTTCAGGGCTGGTAGTTCTGGTGGATGAAGGACAGCACGTCGTCTTTGGACAGTTTCTCGGGGTCCATGCGGGTCTGAGAGTCGTGGACTATGACCCCGTCCACCCAGGCCCAGAAGAGCCGCTCAGAGTGGCAAACGCTGAGGAAGACGACAGCAGGGATGTCACTTGTTCATGCGATCATAACAGCTGCCGGCACCAAAAGACATGAACAGAGAGGAGAGTACGTACTGAAAGGGAGCAGCGGAGTTCGGCGGCATTTCGTACGTGGACTCCTTGGTTGTCTTGTTAAAGAAGAACTTCATCTTGGAGTTTTTACTGTACGCCATCGTCCACGGCTCTGAAGGACGGAGGGAAGAGACTAACGCTCAACATCCCTGACGCCACACACACAAACTATTTTGCTGACAGGATTGTTGAGGCTCGTGGTCCCAACAGTGCACCACACATACAAACCGTTGACAGTCTTAATGATGTAGAGGCCTGTGGGAAGAAAGTGCCGGTCGTCTCTGCCGGTGTAGGACAGACGGGGGACGCCTCCTGAGCTCTTTGTTACCTTCATCTCTAGTCTGCATGAGGAAGGAAGTGGGAAGAAACAGGATCAGCTGTTCTGCTGTGGCTAAGCCAGCCTTGTTCTTGGTAATCAGAAGATCTCTAAACATGTACTAATAACAGGAACTACAGGGAGGTCAGCCTAGGACTTAGACGTGGTATCAAATGAGGGAGATGTTGTACCTGACAAAGATCTTCTCCATTTCCTCTAATCTGTAAACCTCCTTCACTCTGTTTAGAAAGACAGATGATGCACAATAAACGGATTATGCAATTTAACAGAATTACAAAAACAAACTTCTGTCAGATCGAGTCAAACAGACTTGATCTGTTTTTAAATTTGCTCTTTTTCACTCTTTACTTTTATGTGAAGAATGTTTTCTCTGAGTATTTTCACTGTACAGTATCAATAAACAGACATTTAGCTACAGAGGGGGTCAAACGGAACAAAAGTTCAGCTGATGCTCTGAGCATTTTAAAACTGACTTTATGAACACACCCGCAGCTCAAACATTAGCTTTCCAATGGCTACATGTATTCATTACCCGTGTTAACACCATTGAGTTACCGCCGTGTGAGGGTTAGGGTTACTCCTGACTTTTCATCATTTCAGTGAGAATTACATTTCTGCTGATAAACTACAGAGTAACATTCAAATTGATCAAATGAAGTCGAGTTAGTACCTGATAGGGTTCATGTCTGGTCTGCTGGGTTTAGCCACTGCCTTCACAAACTTCTCAGCCATCTGGATGCTGGAGATATAACACGCATCGTTTAATAAACTACTTGAAACAAGACAATATTTCACTGCTATTTGAACCGTCTGTCATTGCTCTGCATTTGCAGAAAGGAGGAACAAGAGGAAAATACAATTAATGAAAAAACAGACAGCATTTGTAACAGGAAATATTTTTTCTGTTAAAAATCTTACTTATAGCTTTACGGGTATTAAAAAAAAGAAGAAAGGGGAATATATGAACAGACTATGGGTATGCATAAACCACATTCAGATGACTTTGTTGTTTGGGTTTACAGGCTAACACGACTGGCATCTACTGGTGGAGGATAAAGGCAACACGATGTCCTACCGCTGGTTGAAGTGTTGCTCTCTTACATCAGTGCCATTCAGTATTAGTGCATCCATGACATGAACTGCGTTGATTCTACGCTGAGCTTTGCCCTGAGGACCAAACACACGGCGTGACACACATGAAACCACAGCTTAAAAAGTGCCCCGTTTAGTTGCATCTGAAATGGATTAGAAGTCAGAAGAATTGAGAAGAATAAGAATGAACACAAAGTTAAAAATGCTCAAAGCAGTACACAACAAAAATTCATTGCCGTCTCACCTCGCCCTTCAGCTCCTGGACGATCTCCACGCTCAGTAGTGTATCTCTTGGCAGCTCTAGTTTGAAATTCTCCATCTTCTTCCAGCGCACAGGCATCTTTCCATCCCACGTGTATATCTGAGACTTCTGCAACGGTTCATGGGAAATAAAGAGAACGGATAAGGAGATGAAAACAAGCTTAGTCACAGGTCATTATGCACACAGACAGTTAAGCTTCTCTGGCACTTATCAAAGTCAATTCAGTTCAATTCAGTTTCATTTGTATAGCACAGTTCGCAACATATGTCATCTCACAGCGCCACATTAAGGTGAAGACCGTTGAACAGATCCACCTGACAGCTCTGTATTGTTATTTTCTTTATTTGTTCCATCTCCTTTTGCAATGTATGAGAATTTGATTTATTTATTTTTGCTTATTTTTTTATCCCTTTCTCTGTCTCTGAGCCTGGTCGTAGCCTGTGGTCCTCAGCCAAGACTCTGCTCACCGTGAGTGTACTTTTACTCCGTTTGATCGCAGTATCAAGGGCAGCACATTTTACTTTTTATCTTCTGACTGTTTTATTCCTTCCTTTATTGTCTTTTAATTGTCTTCATTTCCTGGGTTTTATTCCTCTTACATATGTTTTATGTTGTTTTATTCTCTTTCATGCTTTATGTGTTTCACCTTCACCATTTTTTTGCTTTTTACTTCTTTTAATGTCCTTATTTGTTGTTTTCCTTATACTTCTCTTTTAATCTGTAAAGCACTTTGTAACCCTGTTTTGAAAAGTGCTATATAAATAAAGTTTATTATTTTATTCCTTATTTTTATTCATCTTAATATTGTTTTGGCGTGGAACAGGTACACAAAGCATTTCACTGTGAGATATACCGTGTACAACTGTTTGTGACCAATAAAGGCCTTGAATCCTTGAATATTTAATACTATCCAAAAGGCAGGGAAATGATGTTCCAAATTAAACAGCTGACTGACATAATTGTGCTGTATGTATCTAGCATTAATTTGCCTGGTTGATCCATCTGTTGGTTAGTTTCTTAAATAATAAATAGTTTTGTCTGAAAATTTAAAAAAAATGTCCAAGATGATGTCCTCCAGAATTTCATCCACAACCCAAAGATATTCAGTTTACTAATATAAAAAAGCAAAGATTAAAATATTAAAATTTCAAACACAAGAACTCTCTGGAACTGGAAAAACATCCCAGAGCTCAACATGCATCCTTCTTCCTAACACTGTGACACGCTTTATTTGTGAAAAAGGTTTTGTTTTTGGTGTAAAACAAAGTTCATAAGACTCACCCCTAGTGCTAAAAGAAAGATCTGCTCTCCACCTCCCACAATGCACCTGTGGTCCAGGATGTGACGCAGCTTATCAAGTGTGTTGGAGCTGAGGGCCGTCAGCTTGCACTGGAACGACTCCACGTCTGGATTCTGAGATGAAAAAGACGGAGGAAGAGTTAGGGATGGAGCAGACACAAGAAATTCGGCTACTTGTAACACTGAACTGTATTGTCAGAATTCATCAGGGCAGAATACTTGAAGAGATTTACCCCACACCCAGTCAGAAGGCCATATTAGAAGTTTGTTTGTTTTACACCCAGAAGACGAACTGACCTTAATCAGTTCATAGAACTTTGATTTCGGGTCTGAGGAAGCAGGAGTGACTCTGGCCTTGTCTGGGATCTGGAAATGGACGTACATAAAAACAACATGTCAAAAACAACTCAACATTACCAGTGTGTAGACACTACAGTCTGCTTCTATCAGCTGCACGATAGTCTTTCAGTTTAGTTCACGTGTGAGTTCTCTACTCACCCCCCACTGCTTCAGACACTCCTTCCTGATATCGGCCTGCCTCGGCTCTGAAAGGGTCCTTGAGAAATCAGCAACACGGTCAGGATCAGAACAAAACACACGTGGTGACAGTGAAGCAGAGATACAGTGCACAGAGAAGTGAGGACACTCCTGTGCAAAATCACCTCACAGCAGTCACATCACTTCTGAGTTGAACAGTCAGATCTGGTTTAGATTGACTGACTTAAAAATGCAGGCCCCACAGTACACACATACTCTGTGTGTCCACTTTTGTTTTGGATGGCGGACAACTCCATTCTCCTCAGCATGGAGAAAGGTTTTGTCATTGACTTGTCCAGGTGTCCCCTGCCTTCACCCTGAGTCAGCTGGGATAGACTCTAGCCCCCCATGACCATAGTGAGGATTAAGGTGTAGAGATGGTGGATGGATGGATGGTTTAGTCATTCTTCAGAGCCTATTATTTAGCTTGTCTTTGCTGGAAGCGTTGTGTCACTCTACCTTTCCCCCTTAAAATGTCCCATATTTCTATATTCTGGTGGATTGAAGTCAGAAAACCTATTTGTTTTCACTTTGCTCTGCTTTAAAAAGTCCAGTGTGCGTTGGATTGTGATCATGAATATTCCTCTCCTGCCAAGCTTCTGGAAGCTTGAATTTATCTTTTCCGCGTGTGTTGCGGTGTTTCCACAGGCATTCATTTCACCATGATGCAAACCAACAGATGAACAAACCCCATAGGTCCCAATCTGACAAAGTTCTGGTGTTCACGGGTCATTTCATAGCTTTTGAAACTTGTGTGTCAGAGATCACGGATCGTTTGGTGCATTGAGCTTCTACTTTGTGGTTTTCAATACAGTGTTTCTACAGTATTTGCTTTGGATTGTTCATCAGATTAAATGACTGTTCAACTGGGAAATGATGGAATTTTTGAGACGTCATACAATTTAGAATCATTTGACTTTATGTAGATGTTGCACAGGGGTGTACAAACATCTGCTGCATACTGTAAATGGTAATTAATGTACAGGTGCAACAGCGGATACTCACGGATCTACAACGTAAGCGTGGATCTTAGCCAAGGCCTTGATCTGGACGGCACAGAGGCTGCAATGACGATTACATTCATCCTTCGTTAGTCACTCTGTTTGAAATGCAGCGGCTAATGGCTACGTGAACACAGTGTGCTTCTACCTCTCGTTGGAGTTGACCATAAACTGGTAGAAGTCAGTGTCGTCTTTGATGATACTCAGCGGAACCACATCTGTGACGTCTGTGTCTGTGTTTCTCAGTTGGTTCAGCTTCAGGTTGACTTTGAACATGTATTCCCTGACAGCGTCTGAACCAGGCTTCAGACCTCGGCACACAATGTACCTGCGGATAAAGATGTAAGAAAACAAATATCCTCACTTAGATAACAACGCTTGTTTCATGATCTAAATCTTGAACTGGATCCACAGCAGAACAGAGTGTTTCACTTTGAGGACTTGCTGGTAAAGAAATTCAAATCTGGCATCCAGACATTTATCCAGTGATTACTTCTAATTTCTTTTTAGTTTCTTTTCCTGCACAGTCACATCATCTCAGTGACAAATGAAAGCGTCTGTGTGTATGTTCGTTATGTTTCTTGACTACCGTTCCTCCAGTCTACTTCACATTTTGCTGCTACTGCTGAGGACAAAAGGAAGCGCTGTGTCGAGAGTGAAGTCAATAGGACGAACGTCAGACTGCGACAATGCTAAGCTTGTCAACATCATTTAAGTCATTATTACAACAAAGATGGGTTGTAAAGAAGGCTGCGTCAAAGCGTGGATTCCCTTGCAAAATGTTCAAAGTTTGTCTTTTTGCTCTGGTATGCAAACTTATTTTGACCCAATGGGAAGTTGCTTTGGACACATCTCTACTATCATCCGTCTCGTTATCTATTCCGTCACCACAGTGCTCCAAACAGGCCCGTTTGAAACTGCCAATGCACTCGTATGTTAAAAACACCCAGTGGAGGCCAGATAAGAGTCACATGTGGCATACGTAGTTTTCCGCTGCCGCTTTGGTTTTCCACTCAGCTTTGAAAAAAATTAAACCAAAACAAAAAAAGAAATTGCTATGGATGTGATTTTGATTATGTCAACTTAAAAAATGTCAAAGCATTTCGCAACAAGCACTGTGAAGGTCATGAAAAGCTATTTGTGTGTCAAAAAACAATGAATGTTATATTAAATCACTTGTGAGTTTTGTAGTCTATCACTTTATGAAACCAATGTGCAAAACTTCATAGCGCAGCTTTAATACGCCATCAGTAGTCACTCATAATAATCATTTTTCCCTGAATGAAAACCCCAACATGTCCTCTTGTCCGGTGCCAACAAAGACACACAGACACAGGCTCACCGTTCAGAGTTGGCAGGCCGGCTGGTGACAGGCTTGAAGAGCGAGATCCTGTCGAAGCAGAGGTAGAGCAGGTAGACCAAACCCACACTGAAGGGGGTAAAGAGGTCGAATGTCTTACAGACAAAGTGGCCACCTGGAGAAGAGAGACGCTGCAGCTTAGTCTGGGAATATAAACATGCTGTGCAGGTGGACAGAAACGTGAAGGGTGAGCACATGACTGAACAGGAACTGTACAGAAATGCAGATCGACTAGGTGACCCACATGTACAGGCATACCTGTCCTGAGTGTCGAGATGGCAGTGAGGAACTGACAGAGTAGCAGCTGTTTGCTCAGGATCTCCTGAAGGTTCTCTTGACCTTCCACAGAGAAACCCTAACAGAGGCAGAGATCACACCAAACCAGATAATGACACTGAACAGAAAGCTGAGACCTCACATCAACCCATCATACGTCAATAGTTGATTTTTGGATCCTTTGCAGCAAAGCAACCCCCCCTACAGGAGAATTCTTACCCCATCTGCCATGAGGAAGTGCAGCCCTCTTCTCTCTGTACTCTCCATGACAAAGTTACGGAAAGCAGTCACGTTTTCAGGCCGAGTAATGTCACCGTCTCCATCCACCCCTCCCTCGCCTGAGACACACAGAGGTCAAGCTTTCACTGAATCATTCATCACCTGAAACAAACCCTGTGTCTCCTCTCCCCTTGGTGTGGTGTGCAGGCTTCAACAACGCACCGTAATACGGCTCAAAGAGCTCACTCGGCGCTGCATAGAAATCCTCCAGTTTGAAGTCACAGGGTCCTTTCAGCGTCATGCCAAAGCCCTTGGCGTGCCAGCGTCTTTTCCACAGTATGTACTCTGAAAACCCTCCAGGCCCCGCGCAGACGTCACCAAAGTACAGAAGCTCGCCCTCGCGGTCCTTCGTCAGTGGTTTCTACGGAACGAGAGAGGTTTCATCTCACCATCTGGCTATGTGGGCCTGTGTGTTGTGATCCAACAGAAGTTCAGCACAGCACATGTCTGCAGCCACGCTGACCCACTCACCCCTTGAGAATCCTTTGGGTTGGTGAACATCTGGTCGAAGCAGTGGTCAATGTTGGCCATTTTCATAGCTGCTCTAAAAACAGAAGGTACACAATCCAACTCGTCACTGCTCTAAAGGATCAGCAATCAAGATAGATAGATAGATAGATAGATAGATAGATAGATAGATAGATAGATAGATAGATAGATACTTTATTGATCAGACAACCCCAAAAGACATCCAATTCTGAAGGCACACATAAACATAAAACAAAATATACAATATAAAAAAAAAAGAAAAAGAAAAATAAGATAAATAAACAGGAACCCAGTGTGCAAATGTTAGAATGTGCAAAGATGGATTTTAACATTCTAACATTTGCACACTGGGTACCTGTTATAGTTAGAACTTTCAGCCCTTTAAACCATCAAAGAGATTACTCAAATGAAAACTTACAGAATAGGGGCAAAAACAACTCTCTAACTCAGCTTTCTCCAAAATGTGCAAAAATAAATGAGACAAAAAGTCAGAACAGCAAAGTACGACTAAAATAGAAAATGACCTCCACACTATCCAATTACTGGTGCTGCCTGCAGCTTACTACCTGTCGACTGACCTGTTGAGGAAGAAACCTCCTCGGATCGTCTCGTACGGGTTGGAGCGTGTCCGTGCTCTCCTCATCTCCTCGCCCTCCAGGTCATCAAACACCGCCTAAACATCAGACAGCGATTACACAACCCTGGTTACTCAGCTATAAGAGAGAGCAGAGAAAAAGAGCTCCCCCAATGCCAATAATATGTTAAAATATGGGAAACACTGGAGGCCGGCGTGCCGTGAGGCCAATGTGTCAACTATCCGTCATCATTTTTCAATTGGTCACAATTTCATTAAAACAGACAGAAGTAAACTTGAGCTGTTTCATGTTATAACTCACTTTACATCGTAGAAGAGTGTGCAGGAGGTCTTCTGTGCAGAACTCTGTCTCATCTTCAATCTTAAGTTTCCGCTGTTTAGGATCAAAAGCAAGAATCATATATATATATAAAGCAAAGACGATGCGTGGGGATCAAGCGCTGCATATCTCTGAGGAGTCATGTTTTTGCATTTACCCCTCCCAGAGTCATCCAGTCCCTCAGCTCATCTGCGTCGGGGGTCTCAGTGGTGCATTCTGGGAACCAGTCGACTTTCTCTACAGCGCTGGGCTGTGCAGACAAACAGGAAACCAGACAGAGGAAACACAAAACAAAGAATACATCATTGTCAGTCACTTCGTTTTCACACTGTAATTCAAACCTAAAACCAGAAACACTTCCAAAAACACTAAATTACTACCATTACCTACCTCTGGTTCATCACGCCAGTCAACATTGAGCTCTCCCTGGAAACCCTGCAGCGTGAGGCCCAGACCCCTTCTTCCTCGCTGGGTAGAAGCCTCCACGATCTCCTTTCGTCCCTGGCCAAACTTCCCCAGACCCTCGCCCTCTCGGAAGCCCATCTTGGCCTGAAGGTTTTAACAGACAAAAGGGGACTTTATGAAACACAACGGGAAACTTTACATTTCTTCTGAATACTTTGCAAGATAAACACTTTCTAAATCTATTAAATAACACATGCAGTTGGAAAGTCGGCAATACAGAGCTGTGAAACATCTCAGCTTAATGAGAGTTACGGCGCATTACCATGAGCTTCTGTGACACGCTGTTGTACATGGAGAACTTTGAGGCTGTATCTGAGGGGGCATCTGTGTCTTGGGAATCAAAGGATGATGATGATATGGAGGGCATTGAGAACCCCGGTCTGTGATCCTCCTGGTCACTGAGAGAGTCATTCTGGCTCGAGTCTGGATGTACAAACCAATCACTTAGAGACAATACCAGGTAGATGAACCAAAACAAACAAATCTCAATGAAAATAGCAGCAACTATCTGTGTCAGAAGGATCTGCGTCCTCCTCTGATCACTCTGAAGCACGATTACAGTCTAGTGCTAAACTGAATGTTCCAACTAGATGAAACAGCCTTACTCTCGTTGGGCTTCAATACTCAGAAGAGATTGAATTAAACCGTTCTTTAAAGTGGCAAATAACATCCCCACAGACAGATGTGGCTTTTGATATTAACTATGGCATGCAAAACTTAACATTTTTATCTAAATTTGTGCAATTCGTGCCATTGCTAAGAAGAGGGACATTAATTTATCTACCTTGTCTGGATAATCGCGACTCTTCATCTGAGCTGCTGTCATCACGATGCCTCTTTGTCCCCTGCAGTGGTGTCAACCCCACATCAGCTCTTCTTCTCATTATGGCTGAAAAAGAGCAGAGAACACAATGAGAATAACGATATCTGTGTGGTGGATGAAGCGCAGCAGCACATAGCGGACACCGGAGAAGACCAAGGATTGTGGTAGGAATAAACCAGCCATGCGTTAAGGTCATTTATAACAAGTTCAACGTACAGAGCACCAGCTGAACTACACAACAACAGAATGTATGATAATAAAATAATACTTTTTTTAAATGTCTACATCCCCTTTCAAAACTGGAATCACAAGTTTATTGAAAGAGTAATTAAACTGTACTAAACACTAGAAAGCAGGCACTGACTAAGCTTTCCTGACAGTAAGGAGCTCCAGAGTGTTGGGGCTAAAACAGTAAACGCATATCAGCCTCCTTTGTTTAAAGTCTGGATTGTGAGACTTTAAAATATAACGTATTTTCTGATCTGATGGGTCAAAGTGCAGAACAAGGGGTTAAAAGTTCAAAGGTGTAGAGCAGCGCCAGACTATAAGGAGATTTAAAAGTAATCAAGAGAATTTCAAATTGAATAGGGATCTACTGTAAGGAACAGATATGACAATGTATGACACACAGATGCGTGCCACAGGTTATGTGCTGAATTAGCATGCAATTTGCACACGCTAAAGACAAGACAAACTGGATAGACTACCACAAATGTTCTGCTCTTTACACTGAAATCTGTGGTCTGAACTGAGAAAAGCAGACAAGACTTTCATTGCTGTGTCCTTTGCGTTTTTATGAGGTTGACAAAAAAAAAAAGTATTTAAATGTTTGAAACTCCAAGGTAAGCCCCACTTAAAGCAGATGTGGTGAGGATAGAGGTAAGCCTCGTGTGGTATGTGTTGTCCTTACATCAGATGTCGAGCAAAGCAGCAGAGTATGACCAACAAGTCCTCACATAAACGGACAAATAAAAAAATCACTTGAAACACCTATCCCCAGTTAGAGCCTTTCGTGGATTAACACTTAAAAGAAGCGTAAGTCAAAGTCATAGAATACAACCAATACCTTGTGAGTCCACGCTGCTTTCAAGTATAACCTCCGAATCTAAAAAAAAACCTGCCGAACGGCTACCGGGTGGTTCTGTTATACATACCTTGAAGACTGACCCATGTCAGTCTCCAGGGTATATCTTTTACAGTGAGAGAGAGAGAAAAACACAGCTGAAGCAAACAGGCTTGACTGGTGTGTGTATTCGGTGTTTTCAATGAAAGGAAACTGCGCAGCGATGGCAGGTTTAGCTGTTAGCTTGCTACGTTAGCCAGCTATATTTTTGTTGTTTTTTTTTACCAGCTCAGAGGAAAAACTTCACTCTTCTGTTGTGGCACAGCATCGACAGAACGTTACTTCCACATATGTTACGAGGTTCCACAGTTAAATTTTTATTTGCATGGAAACTTTGTAAGTAAATCCTCTGTTTCTGAAGTTTACATTAGCCCGCGTTCTGTTTTTAGAGCGTTCAGGGGTCCTTCTTCGTCTGACGGCGCGCAGTGATGACGCAGATCTATGGCAACGGCTGCCTGAACAATTGCCTTTTAAACTTCGTCTTCTTCTTTCTTCTTTCTTCTTCTTCTTTTATTATAATAATAACAATAACAATAACAATAACAATAACAATAATAATAATAATAATAATAATAAGAAGAAGAAGAAGAAGAAAAGTAAGAAACTATACATGACAAACAAATGTTTTCTTTTCTTTTATGGGTGTTTTGCATGTAAATTATGCTATTTTCTTTCTGTTTTTAGGTTTAACATTTTTAAACATCTATTTTTATTTAGGTTATGTAATTTCTTATCCCTTTATTTTTCCTCATTCTTTTCCCTATTGCTTTTGCTATGTCTTCAACTTCAGCTTTATTGTCATTCAGCAATGTACATAGTATGCAGTTAAATGAAATGATATTTCTAACATCCATTCACAGTGCAGAAATAAAGTGTTAATACTATAAAAAAAATAAAAATAAATGTGAAAATCAAGTGAAAGGGGATTTTGAAAACAGTGACATGCAGATAGTGCAAAGGGGTGAGAAAGCCATGTGAAATGCCCAACCAATGGCAGGCTAATACCCTCAGTATACATCTGGTGACTTAGACTAAACTCACTACTAACCAGAAGCGATGACAACAGGAGGTGCAACATAAGCTCACACCCAACTTGCTGCAATATCAGTATACAGGATCATCTTCATACCATCCACAGGCAGGGCCAGCATCGTGCCAACAGGTCATCATCTGCCAACAATTGCCACCGCACTACACCTGCTTTTGTCTGACTTGAACAGCAATAACATGAAAATAAATGTAGCTTTATGTTGATGATAATAGCAAAAGTTTGTCTCTGTGTTAAAACGAAAGCGACCACAAAGGAATTGCAGGTTATAGCGCGATCAGGTGGGAACTTTATTTGGTATGGGTAACTCATTTGTTTGAATTTAGAAACTAGACCATAATTATCAAAAATTATGGATAGGTAATGAGGTGTTTACTGTCTTCATGCCTTAGATTATAACCAATCACCAATCGAGTCCTTTGTACCAGTTGAAAAGGACAAAAAGACCTCATGTAAGGCCGCTTTCCACTTCCACAAAGTGAATGCAGCTCCCACATTGTGAATGAAATGTTGTTTCTGCAAAAATGACTCCATGTTGTTTATTAAGGGGTTTAATCCAACCACTCCCTTTTTCTGTTGAAACACTTGTACAGGAACAATGCAGCTCATATAATGCAACAAGACATACCATGCATCATTTGTGCTCATCTGCATCTTGCTAAAAACAGATTATCACTCAATTTATATCTCTCTATAGCTTTACACCACTTTATCCTCTGTAGGGTTGCGAGGGGGGTGGACAACAAAGCACACCTACATTCAGACCTACGGCCAATTTAGACTCTCCAGTTAACTTTTGCGTGTCTTTGGGAGGTGTTGCAAGGTGGTTCGGTAGACGACAGTAATGTTACTGTAGCTGAAAGAGAAAGAACTATTCCAACAGATGCTTTTCTCGGTGAAATGAACAGGAGCTGCTAAAAACAGCCCAAAGTCTGATCCAGAACCAAAGAACAGTAATATGAACTTACTCAACTGAACTGTACTTCCTGAGCTGTAGGAATGCAGTATTTTGTGATCTGTGATCACTTCTTTTACAATTCAAGTCTATGGGAGCCAGGGCTTTTTTGAGCCAGCAGCTAGTGGACGTAGTGATATTGCAGATTTTTGACACTTCTGGGTTGGCTTCATTTTTCATGGCCGGTTGCAACGTCCATCTTTTATACAGTCTATGGTGTCACGTATGCCACCTGCATGCATGACATGCACTCACCACTTAGGAGGAGAATGGAATGCACGGTGAATGTAAGTCACACTTGTCTCACACTCTTGTCATGATGTACTGCCTGTTAGTGTGACATCTGTGCATCAGCAATAAAGCCGTGCGTGTGTGTCCAGCTCAGCTTGTCTCTGTGTATCAGGCCGGACAGTCAGTAGCTAAATCTGTATTTGACGCTGATCTGTACGTTACTGAAACCACTGAAGCATCATTGCCATGGAAACCTACATATATTCTGCTGCTGATGCAGAGATCACATGAACGTGTTTCTATGTTACTATATATATACAGAGAATATTCAATCAATAACATTAATTTAACTTTGATTTGGCCAAAAATTAAAGTGATTTCCTGGATTATAGGACAGTGTTAGACCTAAATGTGCTTCAATACAAGATCAGGTTTAGGTGTGTGTGTGTGTGTGTGTGTGTGTGTGTTTGTTCTTAAGTGATAACGAGAGGACGCTCAGCTCAGAAAAGGTGAAGTCAGAACTAAAGTGACTCTGGTCTCTGATCTTTGGAGATGGATTTGTAGAAAATCATGCTGCTGCGTTAAACATTAAAATGAACTCTTGTTTGCAAACGTAGATTTTCTTTAAGCAACACAAAGCTGATTATAATATGGTATATCCATTATTTGCTTGAAGCAATAATGCACTCGACAATCACTGGCGAAACGCGAGTGTGCACTGTGAGCGTGCCTTTCATTCTCCTGGCACAGGGTTATGCACACCTGCCATGTGTAACCAGATAATTTCTTGGCTAGCGCTAAAGATTAAAATACTTGACAGCGCCATTCTGGGAAATCATACCCAGAGAACAGGTTACTATATTAAACCCACACAGTTAAGTGTCACAGCAAAAAAGGGGACAGAGACGTGATTTTAAAATGACCTCAAAGAGCAAAAAAACTTTTTTTTTTTGGATTCATGGTCTCTCTACTGACTTCTTTAAGCGGTTTTGGAATACCCTTGGATCGGATTTACACAGTGTTTTGGTGGAGTGCTTCAGAACAGGATTCCTTCCTGTTTCTTGTCAGCGAGCAGTGCTTTCTCTGCTGCCCAAGACAGGAGACCTGGCCTTATGTAAGAACTGGCGGCCAGTTGCTCTCCTCTGTGCAGACTACAAGGTGCTTTCCAGAGCCTTATCAAATAGAATTAAGGACACCCTGGAAGTAATTGTACATACCGACCAAACATATTGTGTACCTGACAGGACAATCATGGACAACATCTTCCTCATCCGTGATGTTATTGATGTGTTGATCCTTGAACATTTATTTTGATATTGTTTCTTTGCATCAGGAGAAGGCTTTCGACAGGGTGGTTCACTCTTATTTGTTTTCTGCACTTACAGCTTTGGTATTGGTGATGGGTTTCTAGTTTGGGTTGGTTTATTGTACAGTGGTGCGCAATGTATGGTGAAGATGGGGGCAGGGCTGAGTCGGCCAACCCCAGTGCAGCGAGGGATAAGACAGGGTTGTCCTATAGCAAGCCAACTACTAGCCAAAGAGTGAAACCTTGTTGGTGGGCCAGTGGAGGGATCAGACAGGTGCCCACGCTGCCTGGTGGACTGGAGTGGGGGAAGGAGGGGCTGAAAGTGCTGGGGTTTTTTTTTTGGGCACTGAGGGCTTTCAAACAAAGAACTGGGACGGAGTGAAGGAAAAGTGTGTGCTCGATTGTCTAAATAGAAATGGTTGCAACCACAGTGATTGGGGAAGAGTTCTGGTCACAAGTAACTTGGTCGCCTCGACTCTTTGGCACAGACTGATTGCCCTAAAACCACCTAGAGGCCTGATAGAGGACATTCAGAATGCCTTCCTGGACTTCTTTTGGTCTGGCAAGCACTTGGTCCGGTCTACCTGCCTGTGGCTGAGGGGGACAGGGTCTGATGAACATCAAATCCAAAATTGATTCATTTAGACTCTAGACTGCCAAAAGACTCCTGTACAACTATGGACCAAGCTGGATCGATACAGCTCGACTGCTGCTGAGGAGAGCTGGACGATTGGGGTACGACAAACAGCTTTTCCTCTTAGGACGTGGACTTCACTGGACTAACACCATTTTACAGCTCTGTACTGCAGGCATGGCAGATTTCTAAGCTCACACGTGCCACAAATGACATTCCAGGCATGTGGTTGTTTGAGGAACCTTTGTTTTTTTAACAGCTTCATAAGTATCGGGACGAGATGCTGATGGGGGTTGACTGGGGGCCTCCTCTGCGTCGGGAACCTCGTCTTCCACCAAGTGGCGTTTTAAAGGCCAGACGGGTTCCCCAGAAGGGAGACTTCCAGTCATCAGCAGAGATATCTGGGGGAGCAGGAGTAGTGGGGTTTGTGGGTGGTGGTAAAATGTGTCTGTTAACCTCCCGGTTAACAGACACAGGGGCTACAGGTCCTGGGTTGCCAATAGGCTGCAGGCTCACCACACCCACCCAGAGGAGAGAGTAAAAGAAGGAGACAGACAAGGGCTGGAGCAGAGGCTGGGGGATCATGACACAGTGAAATATAACACTCAAGGCCTGATAAATATTGTCTGGGTGTGATAAGGCACTGTATAAATAGACTTGCTTGCTGGGTTTCTTGCTGAATTGAGTTGAACTTCTATGAACGGCGCTGAATCCTCGACAAGATCTCCACATGACGGTAATTTAACAAGTTTAAATTCTTTTGCTTTTCAACTTAATCTGTCTTTACTGCATTTAAGCTGCAGCAGAAACAACGACAACAAATAAGAAACTGCAGACAAACTCTGGGTTTTATTTCTTCATAAGGACCGTACATTACTTCATTGATATGGTTTAATGGAGGTCCTCACCGTTCATGCTCAAATGATTGGAGTTCAGGTTTTTTAATGTCATCTTATTTAATTTACAGCTGTTTTTGTTTAATTGATTCATTAGGTTTTGAAATCAAATTCTCTAATGTTTTTATTATTTCACTAACTTCATTTTTTTCATTGTTATCGGTAGCACAGTTTCTTATTTGTGTGCCTACATCTTTTATTTTCTACTCAACTACTTTGTAAACGAGGCCTCTACACCTCAATTTGCTCCGAACTTAAATATAAATGTAATGAATTCTGGAAGGATCTATATGCAGTTATAACTTCCAGTAGCACAACGTAACTA